TCTTTAACTGGTTATTGTGGCTACAGGATCTGAGGAACTTCCAGTTCTTTGCTCCTGTCATGAGTTACCAGGTCCAGTAGCACTTAGCTACTAGCTCTGAGGGAGGGCTAGATGCATACGAGGTCTTGGGTGCTGCCAGGATGTCCCCACCTCTAACCAGGAGAGCCTCCCTGGAGCATCCATTTAGAGAGGGCCGGTATGACTGTCTGTCTTTCAAAATAGAGCACAACATAGCACCCGTACCCTCACCTTTCCAAACTTACACTCTGCTTGGGATCTTAGAGGTACCTCAAGATGTGAGGAAACCCAGATTCAGCCTCCATTTCTCCTTGACGGACCTTGAGCTTGTCTTCCACCTTGCAACTCATGGACCCAGTTACCCTGGAGGGCAGACAGGTTGAAGGCACGCTGGGCTAGAGCCACAAAGCACTGAAATGAAGGAGTGTGAAGCTGATGGCAAAGCAAGGAATGGAACTAAGCGTATCAGTTGGATTCCTTGTACCTCCCCACACCTCAGATTGCTTTTCCTGTCATTTCAGTGTTTACTAATATCTCTCAAAGCAGTCTGTGGTGTGGATTATCTACGGCTCGTACTCAGCAGCTGTCGCTGAGAACAGCCTGTGTGCTAAGGCACGTGTCCATGGCACACCTACCAACTGACAAATGTATATGCTGCCACGTTCGTGTTTAATTATACAGCTCCTCCCCATCTCCATCTGCACAACTGAGGAGGGCTGAGACCAAAGGTGATGAGAAAAGGAAAACAGTAATTTGGCAGGGGAAAGAATGTGAAAAACTTCCAAGGTGCTGAAGCACAAATGACTCCAACCAGGGTTTGGTGGGGCATTAAGCTGTAAGAGGTGGCAGGCAGAGTATGAGGCAGAATAACATCTCCTCTTTGAATGGCAGAGTAAAATAAACCCTGTGCGTGAAGAGAGTGGTAGAATGGAATGGTGAGGAGTAATACCAACCCCCCCACGCACAGCAGACGAGAAATGTCAGGAATTTGGGGATGCCCACAGGGCTGTGGAGTGGAGAAGGGATGAGGGCTGAGGGATGCCAGGCGTAGAGCTTTCCTCCTTGGGTGACAGTGGAGTCCTGCTGCCTGGTCTCTGCCCTGTGCCAGTCCAAGGCACCGTAACAATTACATTCTCCGTCTGCGTGCTGCATTCATATTTTTTTGGGGAGAAAAAAGTCCCAGTGCTCTGATAGGCTTTATGATTTATCACGTCTGTCAGGGCTCCGAGGGAAGCCCAATGTCAACACTTTCAAAGACGAAGCAAAACTTTCTAATATCAAGAAGCTTGCATAAATCAAAAGGTTCGAAGCTCTGCATCTGAAAGCTCTCTGCTTTGCCTTTGAGCTGTTAGGGTTAATGCTTGGATGAAAACCACAGTGGAGATTCACATCTGATCACCTGGTTTCAGGAGCCTGAGATTTAAGATGCGCAACGTAAGACAGTATTAAACTTTCATGAAATGTGTTCATTAAAATGACTGAGTTCCTTTTGTAAATAACTGGCTCCTTCACCATCTAATATTTTCACAAGGCTCTTCACGATACGATGTCTTTGTAAACTTTGACAATCTCTTCCCCTCCATCCCTCCCCCGTATTTGTGGGAATATATATGCTCCTTCTCAAACAGCTTAATATTCTTCAAGCCCTATGAATATTAACCAGCAGACTTTGTAGAGTAGGAGATGAAGCATTTTCCATTCACATCAAAGTTAGTCAATTCATGACCCATTTAGGTTGAATCCCCATTGAGGGTGCAAGGGAAGGAAGAACAGGATGAGGTAGGAAGCAGTGCTGTGAGTGCCTTTTGAGGACAAGTTTATGTCAAACCTGTCTTGCCTGCACAAATGAAGTTGCTTGTCTGTAAGTAATAAGAATTAAGACATGGGCCTTGTTTGAACTCTTCTTGGCATGTGATGCTCCTTTAACAGGTGGGTCCTGGTTTGGGTACCAAGGTCCGCATTATTTGAATCCCCAAATCACCAAAACAGCTTAGTAACTGCTTTCTGGGACCCTTCAACTCCAGATCTTTTATCAGAAATAAATTAGCAAAGATAAATCCTCCTTCTGGAATCTGTGTATTTCAGGGACAACCAATGAAATGATCAGCAGTGATTCCCATGTGCTGGTGGCTCTGAGAGGTGCCTGGGGCAGGGAACCTCTCTGCTTCATCACAGGATGACATTGAGCAATTTCCTGCATTTCTTTGTGTTCAGGGCTTTCCCCCCATACTTGTAGGATGGGAATAATGCTGATAACTGTAATAAATGTTGAGGTCTCATAAGGGCAAATGTTCAAGAAAGAACCAAGTAATTATCGTAGAAAGAGCTATCTTACTAATTTATCATTCACTTTACAATAGATGAGCAAAATGATCAGCATGTGCTGGTGGCTCTGAGAGGTGCCTGGGGCAGGGAACCTCTCTGCTTCATCACAGGATGACATTGAGCAATTTCCTGCATTTCTTTGTGTTCAGGGCTTTCCCCCCATACTTGTAGGACGGGAATAATGCTGATAACTGTAATAAATGTTGAGGTCTCGTAAGGGCAAATGTTCAAGAAAGAACCAAGTAATTATCGTAGAAAGAGCTATCTTACTAATTTATCATTCACTTTACAATAGATGAGCAAAATGATCAAAACAGAACAAAAAATGGAAGGGTGACTTCACTGACTTTAAAACAATGCTTTGTTGGTTTTTTTTTTTCCCCACCTTTAACAACCTACCTTGCAGTTTGCATTTGCTTTTATCATTCAACTCACATGCACAGTGAAAATGAACGATACATTGGCAATTCTGTTTCCTCCAGAGCATCTTTCCATACTCAGCAATTTCAAGCAGTACTTGAGTTACCTAAACTTAAAGGTACACCAAGGGATTAAAATCCCTCACTTTTTAAATAGTCCCATTTTAAGAGTATTCACAGAATCACAGAGTCACAGAATATTCTAGGTTGGAAGGGACCTTAAAGATCATCTTGTCCAACCATCAACCTAACTGACAAAAATAGACACCCACACAACAAACAAGGAGCATCATCACTAAACCAGACCTCCCAGCACTACATCAACCCGTCTTTTGAACACCTCCAGGGATGGTGCCTCAACCACCTCCCTGGGCAGCCCATTCCAATGCCTGATAACCCTTTCGGTGAAAAAATTTTTCCTAATATCCAGCCTGATACTTCTTTCATAGAAAAGAAAGCCTTTGCTGTGATTCAGATCCCATTTCCGGCGAGCGGGAGCGGGGGGAGCCCCGGGGACCGGCGGCTCCGGCACAAAGGCGTGCGCCGGGGCCGGCCGGGGTCTCGGCAGCGCCGGGCCGGGCGGGGGGGATCCTGGCATGTGATGCTCCTTTAACAGGTGGGTCCTGGTTTGGGTACCAAGGTCCGCATTATTTGAATCCCCAAATCACCAAAACAGCTTAGTGACTGCTTTCTGGGACCCTTCAACTCCAGATCTTTTATCAGAAATAAATTAGCAAAGATAAATCCTCCTTCTGGAATCTGTACATTTCAGGGACAACCAATGAAATGATCAGCAGTAATTCCCATGTGCTGGTGGCTCTGAGAGGTGCCTGGGGCAGGGAACCTCTCTGCTTCATCACAGGATGACATTGAGCAATTTCCTGCATTTCTTTGTGTTCAGGGCTTTCCCCCCATACTTGTAGGACGGGAATAATGCTGATAACTGTAATAAATGTTGAGGTCTCGTAAGGGCAAATGTTCAAGAAAGAACCAAGTAATTATCGTAGAAAGAGCTATCTTACTAATTTATCATTCACTTTACAATAGATGAGCAAAATGATCAAAACAGAACAAAAAATGGAAGGGTGACTTCACTGACTTTAAAACAATGCTTTGTTGGTTTTTTTTTTTCCCCACCTTTAACAACCTACCTTGCAGTTTGCATTTGCTTTTATCATTCAACTCACATGCACAGTGAAAATGAACGATACATTGGCAATTCTGTTTCCTCCAGAGCATCTTTCCATACTCAGCAATTTCAAGCAGTACTTGAGTTACCTAAACTTAAAGGTACACCAAGGGATTAAAATCCCTCACTTTTTAAATAGTCCCATTTTAAGAGTATTCACAGAATCACAGAGTCACAGAATATTCTAGGTTGGAAGGGACCTTAAAGATCATCTTGTCCAACCATCAACCTAACTGACAAAAATAGACACCCACACAACAAACAAGGAGCATCATCACTAAACCAGACCTCCCAGCACTACATCAACCCGTCTTTTGAACACCTCCAGGGATGGTGCCTCAACCACCTCCCTGGGCAGCCCATTCCAATGCCTGATAACCCTTTCGGTGAAAAAATTTTTCCTAATATCCAGCCTGATACTTCTTTCATAGAAAAGAAAGCCTTTGCTGTGATTCAGATCCCATTTCCGGCGAGCGGGAGCGGGGGGAGCCCCGGGGACCGGCGGCTCCGGCACAAAGGCGGGCGCCGGGGCCGGCCGGGGTCTCGGCAGCGCCGGGCCGGGCGGGGGGGATCC